GAGGGCTGCAGGGTCCCCAAGTGGAAAATGAGGTGTTGTCCATCCAGCTTGGGCTGAGCTTCACTGGAACACTGCAGCAAGCCTCAGACAGAGAAGTTGGCCAGGGAACAGGGTGTGTGTTAAAGTGGCAGGCAACTGGAAGCTCAGGGTCTTCTTTTGGAGGTAGAACGTACGTTTCCCCAAATGTAAAAGAGACCACACTGTGAGCAGCGAATGCCGTAGACTAGATTGTGAGAAGTGCAGGTAAATTGCTGCTTCACCTGGAAGGTATGTTTGGGCCCTTGGATATTGAGGAGGGAGGAAGTAAATGGGCACATGTTGCACCTTCAGCAGTTGCAGGGAAAGGAGCCGTGGGGCTGATTTTGGGGACTGTGGGGGGAGGTGTGTTTGGGCTGAAGAAAGTGTGGACCAGGGTGTCCCAGAGGGAATGGTTCCTGTGGAAAGCGAACAGGGGAGGGGAGGGGAATATGTGTCTGGTGGTGGCATCTCGCTGGAGGTGGTGGAAATGACGGCTAATGATCTTCTGGATGTGGATGCTGGTGGGATGGTAGGTAAGGATAAGGGGAACCCTATCGCTGTTGTGGGAGGGAAGAGAAGGGTTGAGGGCAGAAGTGTGGGAGATGGGTTGGACCCGGTTGAGGGCCCTGTCGACAACGGTGCTGGGGAATCCTCAGTTGAGGAATAAGGTGGACATTTCAGAGACTCCCTTGTTGAAGTTGGCCTCATCTGAACATATACAACGGAGACAGCGGAACTGAGAGAATGGGATGGAGTCTTTACAGAAAGCAGGGTGCGAGGATGTATAGTCCAGGTAGCTGTGGGATTTGATGGGTTTATAGTGGATATTAGTGGCCAGTCTATCCCCAGAAATGGACTTATGGCAGCAATATATCAGTGGAGGTAAGATGGCACCGAAGAATGGCGACAAAGGTCCAGCAGTGGTGGCACAGTTCCAGGACAGGTCTGAGCCTGGGTACCTGGTGGTGAAGGTGTTCCAGTGGCACGCAGGAACTTGGGGCACTGGAGTGTTCACAGACTGAGGAATTCTCATTTTTCTGGTGGTGCGAGGTGGGAGAGTGATCTGGATGTTTTCTTTTTATTCATGCTTCTGTTGTTGGTGGTGCCTCTTCACTGTACTCCTGTATTCCTGCACTCGAGTACACATGACAATAAAATCTAAAGCATAAAAAGCATTACCCATCACTGAATCTGGAATTATCTGTTCCCTCATGGCTTCTACCACAAGCTGCTCCAAAAAACATCTTGTAGACATTCCACAAATTCCTTTACTCGAGATCCACTATCAACCTGATTTTCCAAGTCCACCTGCATATTGAAGTCCCCATGACTACTGCAATAGTGTTTTTCTTACATGCCTTTTCTATCTCCTGATTTATTTTCTTCCCCACATCCTGACTACTGCTAGGAAGCCTGTACATAACTCCCTCCAGGGCCTTTTCTTATTTTGCAGTTCCGTAATCACCTACCGACCTGTGCCACTTCTTGCTTTCGATTTAATTTCATTTCTTAACAACAAGGCAACCCTGCACACACTACCCATCTGCCTCTACTTTCAATAGGACGTGTATCCTTGGATAGTTAGTTCCCCGCCACATCTCTGTGATACCCGCAACATCATACCCGCCAATTTTAATCTGCGCTACAAGCTAATTTACCTTGTTTTGTGTACTGCATGTATTTAAGTACGACACCCTCAGTCCTGCATTGACTGACCCCCTTAATTGCTGTGCCTGAACTTAAATACCTGAACCTTTCCATACTGTCTGTTTTGTTACTTGTTCTGACATGGTGAAGTCGTGGTAATGTCCCTGGACTAGTAATCACATGCCTCGGGCTCATGGCCTGGGGACATGGATTCAGAAGGAGGCTTTTTGGCCCATTGTGTCCACACTGGCTCTCTGAGTGACAATGATGACTTTAGTGCTATTCATTCTTGCCTTTTCCACATTCAAATAATCATCCCATGCTCTCTTGAATGTGGCAGTTGAGTTTGCCAGTGTCATTCTTGATAGGACCATTCTTGATAGAAGTTGCTGGAAAAGCTCAGCAGGTCTGGCAGCATCTGTGAAGGAAAAAACAGAGTTAATGTTTCGGGTCTCGTGACCCTTCCTCAGTTCAGACTTGCTGAGTTTTTCCAGCAACTTTGTTTTTGTCCCTGGTTTACAGCATCCGCAGTTCTTTCGGATTTTGTTTAATGTTATTCTTGATAGTGCATTCCAGACCTGAATACTCACTGTGAGCATTTGCTCTTTTTTGCAAATTACTGTGGTAAACCTCCAAATGTTTTAGAATCTAAAGGATTAATCTTGTGAACATTGAGAAATATCTGACCATCAATTTCGACAGGCTGAACTAATCACTAATGTTTGTTCTATTAAAGTTCTGATTGCTTGATTCTGCCTCTGAGCATGATAGTTTGATGACTAATTAGTTGGATGTTAGTAAAGTTGCATTCTGGTATTTGCAGTTCCTCCTTTCTGCTCTTGGTCACGTTGGCAGTCTACCTACTGGCATTGAGATATTCCGTACTAGGAGGTCTTGCTGACCTCATTGGTTTAACTGTTTTCATTCCTGCCGACTGTGGCCTCACCCAGCTGATTGTCCTTCAGTCCACCACATGGAAACTCAACACATTGCTCCAAAACTGAACAATGAATCTGATCCAGCCAATGGGCACCCTGTCAAAATGGAAGTGGCAGCAATGGGGTGAGGTCGTTCTGAATGTGAAGTGGTGTCAATTTGTACTCAAATTTGAATAATTCTGGATGTGAATGTGAATTAATCTGTACTGGAGTTGTTCCAAATGTGAGAGAGAATCAATCAGTCTGCACCATTCGGAATGGATGTGGAGATAAATACTATCTTGTGGCTGAAGTTATATCAGGCCCAAAGGAGGACTGTTGAAGTCAAGAATCAATCATTTCAGCTTGACGACATCACCCATTAGCAATTGTCCCTCTGTAACTAGGGGGGTGCTGTTTGATGAGGCAGGATGTCCTCAGCTCTGCACTAGAGTCTGGTACACTCCTTCAGTATTATATTGGCTCAAGGTGCATTTTAAATAGAATAACAGATACCCGGGAGTGGGTTACAGACAGGAATCTAATTGAGGGGTCCGGGGTGGTTTAAATACAGAATAACAGATACCCGGGAGGGAGTTACAGACTGGAATCTAATTGAGGGGTTCGGGGTGGTTTATATACAGAATAACAGATACCCGGGAGGGAGTTACAGACTGGAATCTAATTGAGGGGTTCAGGGTGGTTTATATATAGAATAACAGATACCTGGGAGTGAGTTACAGACCGGAATCTAATTGAGGGGTTCGGGGTGGTTTATATACAGAATAACAGATACCCGGGAGGGAGTTACAGACCGGAATCTAATCGAGGAGTTCGGGGTGGTTTATATACAGAATAACAGATACCCCGGGAGTGAGTTACAGACCGGAATCTAATCAAGAGGTTCAGGGCTGTATGTTTGATGCTGAATATATTGTTGATCTTTAAAATTGTGGCCTATAACCCCATGAATATAAATCATGAGAATAATTGAGTAATAGTGAGAATAATTGGAATATTTTACATGGTAGTTTATATTTGGAATGATTTATGTATACTGAAAGGACAGTCAGGGCATTTGGCATTGCAAAGTTTCGCAAAAATGGATGATCCTGAGTCTTGTTGAAATGTCTGGGCACTAATGGATAAAGATGCAACAAGTCAGAGGTGGTGTGGGGTGGGATATGGGGGGAGGGTTTGTTTATCAGGAGGCAGAGGATGTGGGAGTGAGGAGAGATGCAGAATGACCTTAAGGCAGAGTGATTGGTTGATGAACTGATTAGTTCTCCATCAGAAGCTGACAGTTCAGTATTTCAGCTCTGTTTATTTTATGAGGTTAGATTCTACGTAACAGACCACTTAGGGATATTTTAAGCAGCCGCTATTACTCAGCTTTGAGCTTGTTCCGTTGTGAGAGAGTCAGAGGCTTTAATCCTGAACTCTGACTGCGACTGAAACCGATTTCTGTTCCTGTCCCATGGAAGATTGATACATTTCGTTGCAACATCCTGGGTAGCTTCAGGAATTACAAACAACTTCTCTGTGAGATACAATCCTTTGGGCAGGAGAGGAAGTTTTATCAGAAGAACATCGGGCAATTAAACCAGGATCAAATATTCCGGGACAAGGTTAGATCTATTGGAAAGATTTAAATCGAACTTTCCTCTACACATTATAGGAAGTGAAGATCAGGACTGCCCTCAATTTCAGCCCAGCGCAGAAAGTGACCTCCAGTGGATTGGAGCTTCTAGCCAGCTGCCCTGCCGTTGGAAGGGGAATTTCGTGGCAACAAGTCTCTTCGAGGATATATGGTGAGTGGGCTCAGACCTTTTCTTCTAAAAAGTTAATCTCACTCAGTGTCCTCTTGATAATTCTCTGGTGTGTTCTGCCTCTAAAATTTGAACCGCCCTCAAACTGGTCTTGGTATTTGAATCAGAGATAGTAGGAACTGCAGATGCTGGAGAATCCGAGACAACAAG